GAGTAGTGTTTCATAACTCTGCTCCCAAAACCATAACCTATTATTGTAATAAACTGTGATTCATTGGCAACATTGTTGTCTACAGCATAGAGCGATAGATACTCAGTGTTGCTAACAATGAAACGCCCAAACAATACCAACGATGTTGACATGAAGACGACCATCAAAGTGTTAAATGAAATGTTTGTTTTCCTAATATTTATATAATATTGATCAGCGGAAGAAAAAAGGAAGCTCCTGAAACAGATTTGTTCATATCATATAGGAAACAGGTATATGCAGTTGAATAATTGATGTGGCGTTCAATTAGTATCTTAAACATTAAGAGGAATTTTTCTAAACACCTTTCCTTTTGATATGTTCAGATTTGAAAAAAGCCTACAAAATTTGAATAACTACCTCCAAATGCTGGCGTCATTCAGGGTTATCTTATAAACATTCTGAAAAACCCGACTACAGTCCTAGTTGATATAATAGTACAATGGACTTCAGTAAAGTTGAATCAACAGTAATAATTGGAAAACTACTTCAAATTCCAACTTCAGGTTGAACATAAAAACAATCCTTAGATTGCTGGGATCATTAAATGTTGACAAATTGGCACTGATGGGAGTAACGATCTCTTTGTCCACCAGATACCGCGAGGATATGTTTTTTAACGGGTTTAAAAAATTTGCATATCCAATTTTGTATTATAAAGAAATCAAAATATTGTTTGTGATTCCTAGCAGTTTATATAGGTTTATTGAGGGGAATGTACCTAGTTATTGAAATCAAAATATTTCGAATGATCTAACACCCTAGCCCAAAATATAAAAAAGAAGAAGTAACATATGTTTTCTGTTAACCTCCAAGGGGAAGTTAGTCGTTGGTCCTTATAACTTATAACCTATTTTTTTACATGATTAGTGGAGATAAAGCTTATTTTTTATTCACAAAATGGAGATAGAATCAGAGAGGTTGAGAAACATATTTATAATGCTAAGAAACGTGTCTAATTAATGCTTTCAGATTACTTCCTGAACCACCTTGTAATGAAATAATCAATGATATCGAGGACTTGATATCCTCTCAAGATATCACCCCCAAAGAACGATTCAGTAGCAGAAAAGCTGTCAAAGTACGAGCGAAAAAGAAAGTAAGTGATTTTTATTTTCATTATTATGAATATAACCTGATGATGCCACCTAATTGGCAAAACTTTATAATAATATGTATAGCTTCTTATATTTTTATAATTTTCATGAGATTGTCATTATGTATATTAATTTAGGTGGAAAATTATGTTCTTCCAAAACCTTTGGGTGAGAACATTCCAGGCACACAAAAAATATATATCAAAACTTGGGGATGTGCCCACAATAGTTCGGATTCAGAATATATGGCAGGGCAACTTGCTGCATATGGTTATCAGTTGACGGACAATAAAGAGGAGGCTGATCTTCACCTACTTAATAGCTGCACAGTTAAAAATCCTGCTGAAGACCATTTCAGGTAAAAAAATTAACAATTATTTATTTCAAACCTTTAGTTGAGTAAGGTTTTTTATTTTACTGCTCATTATATTTTTTTCTGAACACACAGATTTCCTGCACAAAAAAATTACTTTCGTTCGATATTCATTTAAATAGTGAAACATTTTCCCTGTTACAAACCATTGTTGTCTCTTGAAAATTATAATAAAGTGAGATTTACAGTAAGTAAAATTTTTCCCTTTTAAGGAATGAAATCGAGGCTGCTAAAAAACAGGGCAAATATCTAGTGCTCGCTGGTTGTGTCCCTCAAGGAGCCCCCAAGTCCAACTTTGTTCAAGGGCTGAGTATTATAGGTGTTCAACAGATCGACAGGGTGGTAGAGGTAGTTGAAGAAACTTTGAAAGGTAACACTGTAAAGTTGCTCGGGACTAAAAAACAGCAAGGAAAGAAATTGGGCGGTGCTTCTTTGCTACTCCCCAAAGTCAGGAGAAACCCTCTGATAGAGATAATAGCTATAAACACAGGTTGTTTAAACCAATGTACATACTGCAAGACGAAGCATGCTAGAGGAGATCTCGGAAGTTATCCTCCAGAGCAAATTGTAGAAAGAGCCAAGCAAGCGTTTGAAGAGGGTGTTGTAGAAATATGGTTGACTTCAGAAGATACAGGTAAGTTTTACTGATTTTTTGAAAGAGAAACAAATAGTTTTCAATATTATTATTGGATGGTTTCAAAAAAATAAGATAACTTTGAATATAGAGAAAACTAAGTCTTTTATTTGTCTTGTACAGCAATTATTAAACCAATATGTGAGCATCACGAAAATGGATCTATATACAATAATAATAACAATTATATAACTTCAGAAATAATATCACACGAATACTTCATTTCAGGAACTTATGGCAGAGACATAGGTACTTCGCTTCCGGAACTGTTATGGCAGTTGGTGGAAGTCATTCCTCAGGGGTGCCGTCTGAGACTCGGAATGACTAATCCGCCATACATCTTGGAACACTTGGAAGAAATAGCGAAAATAATGAAGAATCCCAGAGTATATAGTTTCCTTCATGTCCCAGTGCAATCGGGCAGTGATCAAGTTCTAGCTGACATGAAGAGGCAGTATTGCAGACTTGACTTTGAAAATGTCGTGGATTTTCTACAAGAGAGGTAAAATATAGTATTCGGAAAGTGTGATGAATATGCCAATTGGAAAGTGTAGGGAATTGTTATTCAGTTACCTATTAACAAATTCTTATTTTTTTCCAATGTCGAATTTCCCACTAAAATTCACAGTAAGTTTTTCGGAGCTCACTATAAAGAAATAAATCATTCCTCATCGCCTAGCCCATTAAGAAATCTTTTTTTTTTAATCCATCTACCTTCAGACTTGCTTGTTCTACCTTAAGACAAGAGAGGAACAAAGTTATTATGGATAATCATCATAGGTTTTTGTAGCCAATACTCTACTACAACAGCAATTATCTCTTTCTATGAGAAAGTATTAATAGCTACTGAGAAGGGTGAAAATCCAACAGGAATATTTTGTGATTTAAGTCGAGCTTTTGATTGTTTTCAACACAAAACTCTGCTTGATAAGTTATATAAATTTGGTATAAGAGGTAAAATTCATGATTGGTTTACCTTGTATCTGAAAGGACGGAAACAAATTGTAAAAATCTCTCATTGTGATAAAACATCACGGTCATCTCCTCAAAGGAATGACATTGGGGTACTTCAAGGCTCCATTCTGGGACCAATACTATTTGTCTTATATATTAATGAGCTACCTCTGATCTTAACTGATACATTCACTACATTGTATGCAGATGACTCAACGCTACTTTTTACAGGAGATGAAATCTTAGATATACATTGAATTTGAATCATCTCCGTTCATTCTATTTTGCAGAAGTTCAATCAAGAATTAACTATGGTATTGCAGTCTGGGGTGGATCAGCATATGCACAAAATGTTTTTCTGGCTCAAAAGCGCATTATTAGATGTATTGCTAGAGTCTCATTCAACCATAATTGTCGTGACCTAGTAGCGGACTTTCATAATTTTTTTGTTATTTTCTGATATACTATGGCTTTGAATGTAGTATAAAGCGTTAGGAAGCCCACGTTGAAAGGTAAGGCCCCGTTAATCCTTAGCTCGCACAAGTTTCAGCTTTGGAGGGTGGTCATTCGTAGGGGGCCGACAGCTGGTTAATGGAAAAACAGATTTCAACAGAATAATTAATAACTTTAGTAAAAGTTCAGTATCAGAAAAACCTATTGAATGTAAATTAATGTGTGGATTTTTACTTAGCACAACAAGTAGAGTTATTGTAAAATTTATAGCTCGTTTCATGTTCCAGAGTACCAGGAATGACCATAGCCACAGATATAATATGCGGCTTTCCAACTGAAACCGACGCCGACTTCGCAGAAACCATGGATTTGTGCAAGAAATACAAGTTCCCCAGCTTGTTCATCAATCAATTCTTTCCCAGACCAGGTACTCCGGCCGCTCTGCTCCCCAGGATACCTGCCCAAGAGGTGAAGCAAGGAACGAAACAGCTTACAGAACTATTTTACTCCTACCAACCGTACGACCACAAAATCGGACAGATTCAGGAAGTACTAGCGACAGAAGTGTCTCACGACAAGAAACACTATGTGGCCCATAACGAGTTTTACGAGCAAGTGCTCATTCCTTTGCGGAAAGAGTACCTGGGAAAGTTGGTGAAAGTGAAAATTACCAGCGCCACCAAGTTTTCCATGGTTGGACAGCCCTTGGACGAGATCGTCATGCCTGGGTTGAACAAACCTTTGGAGAGAGGACAAGTTTCTGGAGTTAAAGTGGACTATAACAGTGACCGTACGATGCTTTATGCATTGTTATTTGTGTTGGTTTCACTTTTTTTCAGAATTTTATGGTTTCTACTGTAATAAAGTACTCATTTAATTCAGATGCCAATTATTTATTTTGAGGTAAACATGTTGAAAGCGTCACCTAGAACAATAAATTATATTTCACTTTTTCAATAAAAAAAATCACAAATTGACCCATTTTTTAAAATTAATTTACCATTGCACGCCACTGATCGCTATGCTGTCCGATAACATCTTATTCGAGGCGCATAACTTCAAGATAATACTCCTTATTGACCATACGACCATGTGGCAAGAACTGTTGATGCACTAAGCCAAAGTAATCGAAGAAAACGGAAAAACCTCAACAGTTCATGGAAGTTGGCTTGCTTTTTTTGGTCTTGGCTCTCCTGGGTTCTTTCCTTTGGGATGATTGGACTTTGGTTTTGATGTCATAACCATATACCTATGATTCGTCACCAGTTATGACACTCTTAACCAAATCTGGATTGCCGTTGACGTCATTCAACAATTCCTGAGCCTCGCGTAGGGCGTCTAGGTAAGCGTCGTCATTCTCATCTTCTCGAACTTCTCAGAAAAGCTTGTAAACATTTTCATGACTCATAGTAAAAAAAAAAGTATTACTTTGCCCCGGCCTAGTTACCGACGCAAATAAAATGGCTTCTGCCAATACTATCAACATTATAACTATCTGTAAGTTACTTTTTTACCTTTTTCATGATTTCTGAAAATAGTTTGTTACAAGTTGTAGATGTACTACCAGAAGAAAAAAGGTTTACTTTCCATATGTGATTTTTTAATTTTCCGTCAATTCCATAGATGGCGTTTTCGTAAAGAGATTTGTTAACACCATTTCTTGCTTAAGATTGTTCCACTTGGGACAGAAGAGTTCAAAAGTTGCGTCAATGTGTGGCCTAGCACTGATGGGATCTATGGCAGATCGAAACAGTACTGACATTAAATTTTGAATGTGTCTTCAAATATATAAAAAAATTAATTATGAGTGCACTGCTCATCTACCAAATTAAAAGTCAAAATAACAAAAAGACTTTATTGCATCACTTTTATCATCTTATATCAAAATATTCAATAGTCTATTACTACCTTCTCGGACTATTCTTATGTAACAGTTGTATCAGTTTAAACAATTAGTTTTATTGAAAAAAGTTTTTCAATAATGAAGAGTCAACTTAAAAAAATTGATGGAAGTCAGTTTCAGTAAAATACAGAATTGACAAAAGTCTGTTGCTTAAAATGAATTGATACTTAATTATTTTAGCAAATTATTATCCAGCCAAAAACTACATTATAGATTTAAGTACATATACCTATTTAAATGACTTGAAAAATATGCCAATTTGCCTAGAGTCTCTAACAAAAAATTAATAAATATGTACCCCTTAGTTATTTGGACTGCACAAAAAGTATTGACAATCGTAATCCTGGAAGGAAATTCAGTTGTACTTTTGATAACCGTCAGTTTCGAATTGACAGGGTGTGTAACTGTGTTTAAAAATTTGTCTTTCTTTTAACGTCCAGCCTAGATAAAACAAGAGATCTTTACTTAGTTAAAGAAAGAACGTACAAGTAGAACGAAGTAAGTATGTTTTTAGGAGAGCTTAATTTTTGGGAAAGTAAGGTTTTGCTTTCTACTTGTGGAAATCTTCAATGTTTTGTAATAAGATTATTAAATCTACATTCGTATTCTGATGGAATTCTTTTGGGTACATAAAATATGTACATAAGTACATAAAATACATCAAATACATGTACAAATAACTGTACATTAAGTGCTTTCATAAAAGAGGTACTCAAGATAATTTCATGTACATCCTTATGTGGAATACTAGTACTGAAATTATTTCAAGTACATAAAATTGATACTTAAGAGTATTGAAAATACTTCAAATACATGTACAAATAACTGTACATTAAGTACTTACATATAAAAGAGGTACTTAAGATTATTTTATTTACATTCGTATGTGAATGTAATTATTTCAAGTACAAAAAATATGTACATGATTCCATATTCTTCTAATATATTTTTCAAAAACACCTCACGATTTGATCTCCACTATGGATCTTCATCAAGTAACGGCCGAATCAATCAGAAAACTTCTAATACATGTACTGTATGTTAAGTACCTTCATAAAAGCTGAAATACTTGTACTGGAATTATTTAAAGTTCATAAAATAGATACTTGGAGTACTAAAAATACTTCAAATACATGAAAAATACGTTAAGTACCTAATAAAAAACCTTTCAAGTACATAAAATAGATACTTGGAGAACTAAAAATACTTCAAATACTTGAAAAATACATTAAGTGCCTGATAAAAAAACCTTTTATTTTCCAAACAGGTATTAGGACGCAGGAACAGTATACAATTTTGGGATTAAAGTGTTGAATACAGAAAATATATAAATATCATAATAGTAATAATACATTTATGGAATATTCAAGTAGTGATGGAACTTGAAATACTCAAAATAGCAAGAGTACTCTGAATGAGGATTTAAAAGTATTCCATAAATAATTTCTCAGTTGTATTTCTTGCGATTACTTCGTAAGTTAGTATATGTTTGATAGCATCAATAAGAAGCTTTCTTTTGTTGCGTTTTGATTCAAAATAATATATCCAGTGGTTACACCCTATTACAGTGGAGCTTTCCATGGCTGGCAAAATATTCTGAGTTGTTTTTCCAGGTATTCATCCGGTCAATGTTTTTCGATGGACGTTTCGCCATCATCTCAGGCAACATTATGATGTGTACTAGTACTTGATACTTTTTATTTGAGTTTGAAGTATTTTGACTGACTCAAATAGGTACTTCAAAAATATGAAGTATTTGGAGTACTGATGTAAGAGCTCAATCCAGTAGACTTCAGTATTTTGAAGAAATACAGGATACTTGATATTGACACTTTTGAAAGATGTTGAGTACTTTTGTGAACTGTATTGACAGAATCTGTTGAACTACTTAATCAGCGAATGCAATTGTGGAAAAGGGAAGTGTACTGGAAAAATACTCTTGGATAAAAGGAATTGAATGTTGAATGTCGGTTGATATCTGAGTTACTTGAACCATACCCTTCTCTTGAAGGAAAAGGTGAAACACCATTGCAAATTAATGAAATCTGTTTTGGTAACAGTTTTACGTTACTCTAATAATAAAAGATCGCATAAGAATATTAATGATCTCATTCTGACATGATACCCTACCAATGTCTAAATTTGGCCTTCAGATTCAAACTATAGAAAAAATCCTGGCTTTTTGTCATTACTTTTTGTACAGCCCTTTTGTAAATTTCTTCGCCTTCATTTCCAACCTAGGCCTCATAATATAATCAGTTCTGGGACCCAATCCTTCCATTTTTTTGTTAGATTTTAAATTTTTGGATATCAGACTACTTCAACATGCTTAGATACATGTTTCTGCTGAGTCAATAATCCCGAAAAAGAAAACAACAAAGCCACTCTCCGGAGCTTCAGTCACTAAATTTTTCAGCAGAAATACCCGATGCCTAACTTTCCGATGGTTCAGTCCCAAAGTACCGGTCTCCAAAATTGCCTATTCCTGGCAACACGTAAAACTTATCGTTGATTTCCGGATCTATGGCTGTCGTGACGATTTGCACTTGGGGAAAGGCGTAGGCTATCGATTGAACGCCAGATTCGGCCATCAATAGTGAAACTATGAGGATGTTGCTTTCGAGGACGTCGTGGTCCAGAAGGACACGGATCGCCATCATCGCAGCTGCACCGGTGGCTACTGTGGCATCCATCAATATGACTTTGTAATCTTTTTTCTCCAGCTCTCAAAATCGACACCCCGCAAATATTGCTTGTCGCCATTTTTTTACCTAAAAATCAACAACTGAGCAATAAGTTCATCAAACAAACAAATTTCTTACCATTATACTGAACCCCTTGTGGCGTTTCCACAGTCTTATCCACGAAAGTCATCAGCGACAACGTATACTCAATAACGAGCCTAATCAGGCGTTTGCTGTAGAAAATAAACTCATCTCTCGGTGTATCTTTATTCCTGATGAAAGTGTGCAGGCCTCTGATTTGCGGGGTTGTCGGCAATAATCTAACGGTGTGTGGTCGGGGTTGTTTATTACAAGCAAAGGCTTGGGCTAGTTCTTCCCGGAGTTTCAACCCCCTCTACAAAGAAACAAAAATTACTGCGTTCCAACTCGCTCATGACAAAACAAACTTACCAATTGAAGTTGCGCCTGTACGTGCTGTACTACAAGTTGTATCGCCACTTCGTTCTCACCTCCCTTAGGAACGATTATATCGGCATGGCTCATCGAGGGGGCGATGTAGTGGTTGAAAGCCGGCATAACCATTCCCGTATACTGCTTGAGCACCCCTGCCATATCCCTGCCTCTCTGGCTTATGTCTCTCTTCAACCGACGGGCTAGTCTGACATCGGCGTCCGTGTCAACAAATATTTTCATGTCCAGCATGGCGTTGACTTTGGGGTTGTGGAAGGTCAAGATGCCCTCGAAAATGATGACGTTGGCACCATACATAGTTTTCTGGAGTGTAAATTTTCAAATTGAGAATTTTCATGGTAACAAAAATGATATTGTTACAAAAAAGCAAGTACGGTCCAATTCAGACAGCAAGAAAACCTGAATTGAACAAGAAAGGAAGGTCATATACAGCCTGAGAGGTAGATAGATGTACAGAGAAATAGATCAAAAGTACACATATATTACAGTGTCTCAGTGACAGCTGACAGATTTTTTTATATATTCCTAAGCAATTAAACACCTCATCTAGTAAAAATATGTTTCGTTGAAAACTCACCGTCCTTGTTTCTCTAGCATGCGTCATAAAGTTATAAATTGGAACTTCAACTTTCCTGCCCTGTTTAAGTCTGTGTAAAGTGGTGTAAAGCAACTCAAAGTCGAAGGCATCTGGATGATCAAAATTATACTCGTTTCTGTGAGCAATTTCATGTTGCTTTTCATTTAATACTTTGTAAAAAGAATCCATACTGAGCAGAGTGACCCATGGCACTCCAAGAGATTCTATGATTTTTTCTGCTACTGTCGTTTTCCCTGATGCGCTTCCTCCGCAGATACCTAGAAAAAAGGTAAAAGTTTTTCCTGCGGTATGATACTTAATCTACTTTGTCTTCTAACTTGATATCTGAAGCTATTTCAGAATAATGTAGTTGTAATAAACAAGTAAATTGTTGAATCTCTCAGTGATTTCAATGAAAGTACAGGAAATTTATTTTTCAGAATTAGATATATTTGAAAAAAATCAATATGGAATGGTAAAGGTAACTAATTCTCGCCTTTACAGTCTTGTATTTTTCTCAAGGTCTTTTTCTGAAAGATCGAAAAATGTGATTTTCATATTATTGTACAAATGAACTGAAGAGAAGATGAATGAGAAGATTAGCAACAGTGAATTTTTTCTCAGAAAATCTGTATTTGAAATCAGTTAATCCTCTCGTTTATATCCTGATTTGAGCTTACATCAAACCATATCAATTATGTGCAAACAACATAAAAGCAGATAAGGATGTTAATAAATATAAGTTATCAGACCTTTGATTAAGCCTATTTTTCAATCAATCAATCATATATTTCATTCAGAGACCCTATTGGGTATAGAACATGTCAATCACAATATTTCATAGCAATATATCAAAGTGAAAACTATTTATACCAATAACAAACGGTTCAACTTTCTCTCCCCCACTGTTGTACCACGGGGGTCTCCCAGCAGTGTAAATGGTACGGTGTTGCGTTCTGATGATTGATTCTGCTCTTGGAGCTTTGGAAGATTTGTTTAAAGAGGTAGTTCTTTGCCTTCTAGATCTTGGAGATCTTTGTGAACCTGAAATGTGTCAATGATGCTTTTTACAAATGGCCATATGTTGACTGACGTCGAATATCCCTACCTGTTGAAGGGGGTCTTGGGCAGTACGGCACGGTTATTGGTGATGCTGGGGATAGATTTCCACTGCTTTCTTCCTCAACATCTTGAAATACCTCGGAAAAGTCGGCTTGGGTTTCTTCTAAATCGCTGAAAAAAGTATTCTCAAAACAATTACCACCTTGTTTCGCAGAAATGCGCACGTTTTCAACCTCTCAATAAAGAACACATGAATTCAGCATGTTCTGATTTATAGAATGAGTCTAAAAATGTAATATATAGATGAAACAATGTACCTTTCTGAACTTGCCGATGAAGGTGGATCAGCAGTATTAATTTTTGCAGCCATTTATACGCCTTGAGGTACACTATTGTTAATCAGTTTTTACGATAAAAGGTATTGTAATAAAAATAGAACAGTTTACATTACTTTTATTTACCGGACTAACTTAAACCTTGAATTTGACGGTGTTTAAATTGCCCAATGACGTTATTATCTTCTTATTTTTATTTATTGGCCTTAACAACTAACGCTATCCGACCAGTTGGTAACCACAGACATTGAAGTGGTCACATTTAAAAGATCCTGGGACAAACCTTTTCACTTTTGGGTAGAAATAAGTTTATTGGAACGTGTAGAGCATTGAAATTGAAAAATCTTATCACCATTCGTTCGTAAATATTGTTGTCAACTACCAAAGCAACTAACAATCCATCGCTGAATTACATTCAGGTTCTCAAGATACAAGTCACTCACATTTCGCCTGCCTAGAATTCCACGAGGGAGAAGCAACTGTATCGAAGAATAATGAATAATTTTCAAGTGAGGGATGTCCAAGGACATTTTCAAAAATATAAATCTTGATCGAATTCCTTTAAATTTTATAATGTTGATTTTGAACTGAAGATCCCACCAAATATGTATCTGAGGTCAATTTGTTGAATTGAAACGATTTTAATATAACTTTCAGAGTTTCGTCAGTTTCTGTTTTTAATTCCGCCCATGTATTTCTCCCACATTTCACTCGTGGATAATAAAATTGCGTCCTACTCCCCTCCTCGAGTCTATACTTGTTATCTGACAGTAAGGAGTATTTTTTAAAATGAAGTTATTCGTTGTCTATTGTTGATATCTGATAATTCTTTTGGAATGATGACTCATTCTACAGTATTTAGCTCTAGTATCTACAATATTATTGTTTGGATAGTTGTTAAAATGTAACAGTTGGGCTGAAAAGTTCCTAAGTTAACGTAGAAACAAAAATTTTGATGAAATTTGATTTTATTATTCAACGATACAACAATTATAGCGGCTATACAATTTTTTCTATACAAAATTTTTATAGTACAACTTGTCGCTGAGAGTCAGATCTGAAGAATATGGTGGACGCAGAAGCAATTCGAAGACCAATTCATGCAATTTTATCGTCGTTTCCATTAATTTGTGACACCGTACATTGTCTTGATGAAAGAGCACCTACTTTTTCTTCAAATAGGGCCGTTTCTCCCCGATTTCGTCTTTCAAATGCTCCAATAACGCTATGTAATAGTTGCTTTTGATGGTTTTTTCCTTTTCAAGATAGTCGATGAATATTATACCATGCGCATCCCAAAATACTGCGACACTGTTCCGAACCAGAAAACTGTACACACCTCAGCAACTTTTGATGCTTCATAAAGCTCAGATCAGACCTTCTTTGGAGTATTTTTCTCATGGATGGAGCTCCGCCCCTGAGCATTTCCTGAAGCTGCTGGATTCCATCCAGAAAAGAGCCATTCTTCTGATCGGAGACGCGAACATCACTTGGGACATTGACAGTCAGGAACATCGAAGAAAGACTGGGGATTTGTCTCTCTTCTATAAATACGTTTAGAGGAAGTGTTCAAGTAACTTGTCAAATTGATTCCACCAAAAGAGCGGTTCTTATAAAAAATACGCGACAAACTGTGGCTACCCATCGTTCTGAGGTTTAACTCACTACATCCCAAACTCCCCTGCTTAAGAACTCTTTTTTTTGGAGAACTGTGTTTATGTGGAATAAACTTCCTGAGAGTGTTTATCCAAATTTCCAGTGATTAAAATCCAACGTAAATCGCTACTTTCGCACCGGCACCGCTCTTAGAGCGCCTTAAGGATTTTCCTGTAGTGCTTGTGTTTTGTCCTAAAAAAAACATAACTTTGCCAGCTGACTGTTGCGTCTTTGCACGCTTTGGAGTTGGTTCACCACTTGCATTCCACTCAGATGACGATCGTCATTTCAGTGGACTGCAGCTATGTCAATGTCAGATTTCCATAAAATTTGGGAGTTACCCGGCAATAGACATAGTCGCATGTATCTGTTCTCAACAACTGTGACATATGACACATGTGACTGATAATTTGAATATATTATGAGATGGATAATCACCTTTGTTTATATATAAGATATGCTTTCTAAAAGGCTCAAAGTCACACCTACTTATTATTTTAACAAAACGGAAAAATTGTGAATAAACTGTGATGATTCGTCTATGTTATAATAGAACATCGAGTTGTCAATTGTGCTTTTTATACAAATTTTTAGATGCAAATTAACGCTTTGAAAAAAAAACAGCCACTAATGTCACTTGTCAAACAACCATTTGGTTTTTTCAGTTTTGTATGCGATGTTGGCAACTCTGCCGTGGAGTTTTTATTGGATACTATAGACAGATTATTTATGTTTAATAAAAATAATTATTTAGCCAAAGGTCTACACGGTTTACTGAATTATATTATTATAGCTGAGCGCTACTGTATGTTTTCGTATGGTATCGGAAGTTTTAGGTTACTGGATTTAGGTGGTAAGTTTTAATATGAACTGAAGGGATCAGTCATGGCGGCTACAAGAAAATTACAAGGTAAGTGAAATTCAGAGACCAAAAACACTTTGCCAAAAACGTACCCCTTGTTGAACTACGCATATCTTATCAGCACCAAAGATGATTTCTGTGAGATTGCCTATTCATGTTTGGTGAAATTTCTCACACCAAAGTGGAATAACATCATATTCATCTGAAGCTCTTGAAAGTAAACATTTTACTTAAGGTACTGTCTGTTCTAGGTGAAATCGATAGATGTTTAAAAAAAGTGATGGAAGGTGTTGAAACCTTCGATGACATATGGCAAAAGGTTCACAATGCTGCGAATAATAACCAGAAAGAGAAGTATGAAGCCGATCTCAAGAAAGAAATTAAGAAACTGCAGAGGTTGCGAGACCAAATAAAGAGTTGGATTGCATCCGCTGAGATCAAGGACAAAAGCATACTTATGGATAATAGGAAACTCATAGAGACTGTGAGTACTACTCTTTCCAGGGTAACATTGGACAGAGGGATTTGAGTTGAATTTGAAGATTTTTTATTTTATTTACATTNATGAAAGAGTGAATTGGATTAAAATGGATACCCATCCCCTGAAGAAACACGCATGGAAAAGAGTATTGCATTTCTTTTGATTCTGAAAAGTGCTTCTTTTGGATTCATTCTGCAATCCAGAGATTACAGTTTTACCTTTTATTAGGTAATTTTTTACAAATTTTCATTTGGTAGAATTGTTACAAAAGAAACTAGATTTACAATATTTACTGTCCTTTTGAGGATTTTTGAAATTCAATTTCACAGTAAACTTTACCACATACTTTTTTTTTCTTTCAGCCGTTTTCGGTAAGTGATCTATGTCAGAAATCAGATAAAGGTATTGTAAATAATTGTAGTTTCGTTGAGGGTGCTTCATATATCATCTATAAATTTATGTTACAATTCAAACTATTTTGTGCCTTGGTTGTTGCCTCATTGACAGTTCTGATGCACAATATTTCTTGAAGATTGCTTCTATCATATTTTAAAACAGTATTCATTTGATTCATAATATATACACACACATCGGAAAAGTCTAGGGATATTTTTATAACATACTAAATATCATAAAAATAAATGCATGAGGTCATTTAATTTCGATTAAATTGGTATACTCGACCACCCTGTAGATTTCTATGGGTTGAACAAAACCTACAAAAACGGTAACTAATCTTTTATCAAGTTTTTTACAAACTGTAGGTTTTCGGCTAAAATGAANATAAGAAAAAAAATTATTGCCATTTTTAAAAATATCCCTAGACTTTTCCGATGTGTGTATTATTTCATTATATTACTTAATTACTTATTGAAGACACTTTTTCTACACCCGAATGAAAATACCGTTTCTTGACATGCATTTCGCTAACCAAGGTAGCATCATCAGGCTATGACTAAAACAGGTTTAGTTAGATATAACTAAAGATTACTAAAACAGCTTTAGATATAACTAAATCTGTTTACGTCATATCAGAAGATTACTAAAACAGGTTTAGATATAACTAAACCTTTTTTAGTCATATCAGAAGATGACTTAAAACAGCTTTAGATACAACTAAACCTGTTTTAGTCATATCAGATGTCTAAAACAGGTTTAGATGTATCTTAAATAGGTTTGGATATAACTAAACCTGATTTAGTCATATCAGAAGATGACTAAAACAAGTTTTCATATAACTAAACATGTTTTAGTCAAATCAGAAGTTATATCTTAGTTGTAGATATATCTCACTAAATCTGTTTTAGTCATATTCTGGTGATGCTTTGATTAGCAAAACGAGCGTTAGGAGACAGTTTTGGTTTAGGCAAAATGTTTTCAAAAGATTCATTGTTTGTAGTGCTAGGGTGTCCAGCAAAACAGAGACAATATTTTTCTAATGTCTCGTTTTAGTGGGACACCCTTTGAAGTTCAAACAATGCTCAATGTGATCAGAATGTCTCAGATTTCATTGTTATTAATATCTCATCTCTGGTGTGTTTGATTGGTTGTTATTAATTTTGATTTGAATCATTTCTTGAGGAAGGTGTCTGGGATCAAAATACTTCTTTAGAATAAGATGTAAAGGAATTCGAATCCAAAGCAACTTTGCAGTACAAGCAAAGCAGATTACAGATTACAGATTACAGATTTTAGTTTCTGATTCATTATTGCCTTGCCAAGAGAAACTATTTTTTTCTCATTTGACTGGAAGTAAGCAAGAACAGCATAAAATCTGTTGAAATAACAAATAAAATGTTGAAACTATTGAAAATACTTGAAATTGGACCTTCGGTTGAAGTAGTAGTAATGTCGAAAAAAGTGCAAATATTGATAGCAAAAATTTATTGAATAATGATAATATTTTAATTTATGTAGGCAAGAAAATGTGAGAAAACAAGTATTCAACTCAAGTGACCTTAACTATTGGTATTCTATCTAGTCTGAGCTTTTGTGTCTCTCTCCTTAGATTCATCTCTGCTTTTATTTTGGTAACAGACCCCTGATGATATTTTTCACATTGATTTTCAGACTGACAGTTTTGAATCCGAAATTGAACAGTTGCTATCTAATAAGAAAAAAAAACTCGACAAAGACAAACAGGATAGGATAGAGGAGCTGAAGTCGAAATTAGAAAAACATAGGTTTCACATCAGGAAATTGGAAACACTATTGAGAATGTTGGATAATATGTCCGTGGAAGTGGAACAGGTAAGAGTTGTAGAGGCAATTTTGTGTTTTTAAACATAATTCATGATAAAAATATTTTGGGCTGAAATCAGAGGTTTCAGAATCAGGTATAGTCAGTAAACGTAAGTTCCTCATATGAAACTGTTATTTTTAACTAATCCAATTCAAGATTATTTTGTAGATGAACCAAGATTTCTGCAATATGTCATTCAGTATCAGTTAATTTGAAAATTATTTTTTTAAGTGTGTAATATCTTTTGAATTTATTTTTGTCAATGTGAGAGGACTATGTTTTCTGATTTTTCGTCAATTATCAATCAATTAATTAATCAGAATTAACCGGAAATTTCGTAGAACTCTTTTAACGTGAACAAAATCAGTTCTATGGAATTTTTCGTTTCTAGGATACAGGGTGTATTTTTCTGTCTTTAAAAATTAAAACCCAACATTTGAAACATCAATTAGAATACTTTTCGAAGTGAATTTGAAAAACTCATGAATTAAACTCAACTTTATTTTGTTCAATCTTGCATTTGCTGTAATAACCCAAATTGAGGAACATTCCCCATTCAACTTTTTAAATTTTCAAATTGTATGGACAATTTCTCTATATAGATCATGTTTTGTTTAGCACAAAAGTTGAATAATCTGTATATGTAAGGTTTGGAGTGTAAGACAGTTGTTTCTAAAGAAAGTTCTCCTCTTTTGTAACATTATTTCGGTATAGTGAGGACTTCGGTAAGCTTTTCATAATAAGTAAAAGCAAAACATTTGTACGTTTTGTATAAATATGTACTGTTACGTTTTCTCTGTGGAATGATTAAATCCAACTTTATTTCATTACTACACTGCAGATACAACACAACACCTTTAACTGAACTTCAGACTGATACTCAAATGTCTATTGCGTTAATTGCTCACTTCGTACCGCACTTTCAACTAAACTTGCTTCCTCTGTTTGTTGGTGTTGCTTATATATCCCAATGGAAAACTTCGGAAGCCGATCCAGAAGCACAAGTACAGTTGAGCGCGACCAAGTCATTGTCGATCGACGAAAACCAGCGGCGGCCGGCGTTATTTTTTTTCAGGGGATAATTCACAATAAAGGTGTCAGAAGTGGGATAAAGTTGAGTTTAATTGTACAGTCAGGCCAATTATTGTCGAACCCGCGTGGAAAACATAACAGTACATTAAGGCTTATATTCATATGTTTGTGTTATTTTGATTCATTTATTTGTAATTGTTCATGAATGAATACAGATACAGAAAACTATCACAACAACAATTTGCATGAATAAATTAACAAAAACCTTACAAAGCTGAACTTGTTATAAGGATAAATAATTCAATATAATACATTATTTCAGAAGTATAAAAACATTAATGTAACATTTGAACTATTTTTTTGTAACGAATCATCGATTTATCAAATTATGGAAGAAATGTCGATCAGTTTTTATCAACTATTCTTCAACTTTATTTTTATAAAAATAAAGGGATTTGGCCTCTTTGGCATTAGCACTGCATCGTGAAATTTTGGGTATAATGCCCGTAAACTTTAATTTTTGATCAATCAACCTTTAATGTTGAATTATTTTTGTATCTTATGCCATGAATATTTGTTGAAATTTATTATTTTTTTCTATATGTTCCATATACTCATTATACTTCACAAGACTTCGCAACTGAGATGTTAAAATTTTTGGATAATGAAGTATGATTTCATTTATAAAAGCATGTTTTATCATGTATTTGATTGATAACACTTTAGTATTCTTTCGTTGCCCAAAGTGTATAGGTTTTCAAAAAAACATTTGGAGCAGAGAGTGGAAGTCTATAACGAAAAACAACAAAAGCGATCCTTACTTGAAAAACATGCTTTTTCTCTCTCGACCTAACCCCTCCATTATTTGCACTTCACCTAACGTGACTCACAGACTAAGAGATCTCATTTATACATTTTGTTTTGTGTCACCTTGTAGATAAAGAATATAAAAGACGATGTTGAATATTATATAGAGAGTCACGCAGAACCGGATTTCGCCGATAACGAATTCATTTACGATGAGATTACCGGCATGGACGAAGTCGAACTTTCGGGAGTGGGCCTTCCTTCGTCCGCGACGACGGACAGTAACGATACCGGCGGGACGCCGACGTCTATCATATCGGGTTCGTCGCCTGTTTCATCGCCGCCCCTGATGAACAATTCGAATTTTAACCATTCCATGGATACCACCAACGAGACTGATAAGAAGGTCGTGGGGAAGGAGCAGCCGAAGGTTAGTGCTTTTTTATGTTCAAAGTTGTTTCGATTAGTTCTTGGTTGGTTTTTTCTTGTGCAAACTTACGGTGGGTTTACGGAAGTGTGTCCCTGGAAAATTTTGAATGGGTCACATTATTTTAGTCCGATTTCCGAAATTGTTAATTGGAATTCCAAATTTGAATTCTCAATTCAGACCTAACTCCAATTATACTTAACTTTCTGCTTTTTCAATTCGATTTCAAGTTCTGAATACAAAGTTTGAAGCCTGTATTCTGAGAAAAATTGGGAATTCTGAATTAAAGCACGTTACGAGGGTTGCCCTTTATGTTTCGGGATTTGGCAACCGTAGTGTTGCAATCTGGCAACTGACAGCTCTATCGTAAAGTTGGACATTTTTAAGCTTATACATACTCAGAACGTTTTGACATACGCGCGCTATTTGTGTTGTTTACAGTAACTTAAAAGATTCATCTCGGCCCAAAAATGGAATTAAATCGAGAACATTTTCGTGCGATTATTTTTTACAACTTTCGATGTGGATTAACTCAGCAACAGTGCAGGGATGAACTTAATTCAATTTTTGGCGATGGAGCTCCATCAAGGACCAGTGTTTATCGATGGTATGGTGAATTCAATCAGTTGTTCTGAAAACCATTGATGCTGTGCGCGAACTGATATTGCAAGATCGTCATGTGACCTATCGTGGGATTGAGACAACCTTAGGCATTAGTGGGACCAGCATACATTCAATATTGCATAAACATTTGACTGTCAAAGAAATTTGTTTGCGTTGGATCCCACACAATTTGTCAATCGCTCAGAAAAAGGCTCGTGTCGATTGGTCGAAGGAAATGCTCAAAAAATACGATCGCCATGCTTTGAAACAAGTCTATGACATCGTGAAAGGTGATGAATCGTGGATTTACGCGTATGAGCCTGAAAGTAAACAGCACTTCTAAGCAAATGGTCGCCTGTTTTTTCGGAAAAACTGAACATGTCGCAACCGTACCACTATAACAACGTAGAACAGTCAATTCTGAGTGTTACACAACCATTTGTTTGCCAGTTGTCTTCCAAGAAATCAGGAAAACCAACCGCCGAAGACGGATCACTCTTCACCATGACAGTGCGAGTTCTCACACATCGGCTCAAACAACTGCATATTTGAGCACACAAAACATTGACTTGATGAGTCATCCGCCGTATAGTCCTGACTTGGCACCGAATGACTTCTTTTTATTCCCGGACGTAAAAAACAAACTGAGAGGTCAATGTTTTTCGACACCTGAAGAAGCGGTTGCTGCGTTCAGAATGCATGTTTTGGAGATACCTCAATCAGAGTGGCAAAAGTGTTTTGACAGTTGATTCAAACGCATGCAAAAGTGTATAGTTCTTCATGGGGAATATTTTGAAAAACAATAAAGTAATGTTCGATTATTACTATTTGTTTTTGTTCTCTAATCCCGAAATATAAAAGGCAACCCTCGTAATAGAGTTGAGTTGAAAATGTTGAGTTCAAAATCAAAATCTTGGGTTTGGAGTTTTTTTTTAATTGAAGTTTCGAATTTGAAGTTGTAATTTCGATTTCAAACTTGAAATTTCAACTTTACACTTATTCAAGAGTTAGAAAACTGGAATTTTGACTTTACATTTTGAATTCTGACGAAAATTTGAATCAAGACTCTGGCTATATTGTGACTTGACTCTATACAATTTAACTCAAGTTGACCTAACAAAACTACAGGTTTACAATCAGAATTGAGATAGAATATTTTTTTAAAACAGTTTAATCTTGATGGTTTAACATGTTGATTTATTATGAATAAAAACAGCACTGATATTAAAAAAAAAATAATAATCACATGTTGCTCCACAACAACTTTTACCCTTCACACGAATACTTCAATTTTGACTTTCAGTGTTTTACCTTTTTTGTCATGAAAATTTTATATTGTAAATGCGAGGTACTTTTATCTCTGAACTCTTATTTGTTTTGACGTCTGCAAGTGATCTTACTACTGTATAATAAAGTAACTTGCTTCAAACAAACTTGTTGTTTAATAAAAAAAAAGTCACATTGATAAGGATATGGATTTTTCACAATTTACAAAAAATATAGCATAGCTGACTCAGTAAACGTTGTTTTGACACATGAATTATTTCTATCAGATGGTTTTCCCACTCGAGAGCATGCCATGTATAATTATCCATGTGAAAAACATGGTGTGCTGAAATCCAAGCCACAAACGGACATTATTTGGCCTTGGGACTTTTTGATAGTCATTGCAAATGCCAATATAGTTGGAAGTTGCACACACAGTTGCACAAGTTGCAATTGGCACATCTGTACGTATAATAGAAATTCGTGGTAGTAATATATTTTCACCTCGGAACTTACCATTTAAAATGGTGGTTTCAACAACGATTTTCATTCATTTTTCAATGACTAATCGGGTGCCGTTGCACAGCCGTAGTGAATTCAAATTACAGAGCGATCCAACCTTCAGTTGTAAATTATGCAGTGGCATGCCTGGCAAATTCAATAAGTTCAAAAACTCTGTTGGATAATTGACAGTTTCGGTGGTATCGCAAACTACGCTCGATGGATAAACGATAATAGCGGCCGAAAACTGTTTAGGCAGTGAGAGAAGGCTTATTGTGTCAGAGGGACAGGAGACCGCTTGGTTCTCATCCATACTCCGTGCTGTTTACTGAGTGAGAAGTGATACCGGTAGACGTTTCACGGGAATAACTTATTTAAAATGATTAAATTACTGAAATAGCTATTAAAAAATGTTTGATGTGGAGCACCATTATCACTTAGGGGTCAAGCCGTTTTCAATGAGTAAGGTAACTAACACTGTGACACGAGAATTTTATATAAATAGATTATTGATTGGATAGATGTCTTGTGCTCATTGCTAATTCGAAGAAGATGTCCGCAAACGTGACCTATTCATAATTATATAGAGACTTCCGGAACTCACCTATTGGCACATATCAGTTTCAAAATAAAATATTCATTCTAGAAATCAGGGTTGTCATTACCAAATATTTGAATTTGAAGCCTACCCTCATTGTTACAGGTAAACAAAGTTCAGGTAATAAAGTCATTAAGGACCATCTGTTATTACCTACGGTGTATAGATATATAAGGGTGTACGTGCACATTGTTAATTATTTCAGTTCATTGTATTTGTTTGAAAAATGTCCTGAAGTAACGTTGTTTACAAATACAAGTGGTATAAAAACATAGGACATTTTAATTTAAACAATAGTTCAAAAGATTATAGTGTTTAAGTCAACTGAAAAACGATTTGTCATCTCATTTATGAAAGACGTGTTTAGCTTTCTAGAAACCTATTCAAAAACTTGGTTACATTTGTTTAATTAAAGTCCACCAATTCAAATGGCAGCATTTTATTTGGTCTTGACAACTCCGATCCTCTGATCTGAAAAACTAAGAAGAAGACGAAATTTTAAAATTTTCTTCCCGTATGAAAAAAAAAAGGTATTTACAAATTCTATTGGCACATTCGGAGATTTGGAAAAACTCGACGACGTACGCTTAACCGGAATTCCTCGCTAGATTCAGGTTATAGAAAACACTCTAGTAACCGAATTTTTTTCAGTATTTGAGCGGTTTGAATTTCGATACTCAGAACTCCGAGCTCCTAGCTCATCTAATTCATACCGAGTTCTCTGCCGACGTTCCAAACTCCTTTATGAGTCAAGTGAGTATCGCGGTGTTCTTCCCCAAGAAAAAAAACCATGTTCCAATGTTTCAGCCCGTGAAGCCGACGCCCGTGCGGGCATCTGTGTCGGTCACTTCCACGACGTCCACCTCCTCGCTGATGAACGTGAGCGGCAACTCCGCGCTGAACTACAGCGGCAACAGCGCCACGTCGACGCCCAGCAAACCGACCCTGGTGAGCAGCACGCCCAGCAAACTGCCCGCCCCGTTTAGGGAAGCCTCGCCCGTCCAGCAGCAGGCGACGACGACAGCGCCGGTGGTGCCGTCGAGCAATTTCGCTGCCGTCGCGGCGAGTTCCGTCGCTAAAGTGACGAGTGAGTCGATAGGTAACTTTTTTTTTTTTGTAGGTCAAAATAATTTTTGAATGTCCGCTAATGTGATGTCGCATCTTCTCTAGGAGTTGATATTATAGTCATCTAGAATCCTTGTTTGTCGAGATGGTAACGATTTATTTTTTTATTGTAGCAAGCGGTGAAAGTAACCCCGCATCTGTGATAAGTATCGTTAGTCAAGTACAAACACAAAATTCATCTAATGCCGTTACATCCGTTCATTCAGATCCTATTTCCTCGTTTATAGTGAGTATTGTCTAGAAGTGTAAGATGATATTTTCTTCGTTTATTGTGAAGACACAATCATGACTGTTTCCAATCTTTCAGCGTTTACAAAATTCTACGAACCCTCCTCAGAAACCCTTCGTCGAATCACATGTACAAAGTAATTGTATAAGTCCCGAACCTACCACCAATGCTGAAACGCTTTCTATGGAGGTAGAATCGACTCAACCCGTCGCAAATGGTGCCGACGAAAAGGTAAGAAATAACCTGACTTATCATCGATCTGCAGGTTGCTGATTTTGTTCATTTATATTTTTGTTCAACGAGATGGAAATTTACTATAGTGTATTGGGTGATTGAAGAGCAGTGAACACCTTTGTAGGAAATATGCCTAAAAAAACTTTTGTTTTCTATGTTAAAATGTTACGGATTGCAATAGGAGATTTATGGAGAAACAATGTGAGTTGTAGATGTAGGTTCATATACATTTGAACCATGGACCCTGATTTTTTTAAGGACAAAACACAAGCACTACAGGAAAATCCTTGAGTCGGTCTATGAGCGGTGCCATTGCGATAGTATCGATTCAAATTGGATTTGAATCGTTGCAGATTGAATTAATTTGAAAAAACGGTCTCAGGAAGTTTATTCCACATAAACGCAGTTCTCTAATTGATGAAAGAGTTCTTAAACAGTGAAGTTCGAGGTGTACTGAGTTGAACCTCAAAACGATGAGCAGCCACAGACCGTCGCACAGCTATATAATAAAAAAAAATACTGTAGAATTCTAATAGAATTGGCGGTGTGCAGAGAGTTGAAACACAGTATTTCACTTATGGGTTGAAATTAGATTTTGGTTCGACTTGCATAGAAAATAGCTTGTTACGAATTATATACTTGAAGCGTCCAAATGGAACAACAAAAACATCATATTCTGAATAGAAACTTATAAATTTTACAGATGTTATAAACTGGAGATTTCATTAACACGTTGATCCTAGGCAAAGGCAAATAAAAAAAAATTTCGTTTCTACTACTTCCGTCTCGGTACGTGAGATAACAAATAAGGGCAGTCAACCAGATTATGAATCTGACATTTGACAGATTGAAAATTGAATTCATAGGTGGCACAATATATGACAGTTGAATGACATTCCAATCTGATGTTCAGTTGTTTCAAAAAATGATCGACGATAGGTCACATCCGTCACGTGATTCCGGCACAACGGCCGCTATTTTGAGTATACAATCTCCTTAACTTAACTACTCCTGTCACATACAAAAATGTTTCTTTGCGGTGTACCACATGGCTATGTTCTTGGACCGACTCTTGCTGTTGTAATGTA